AAAAGGGTCATAAGTGGCTTTTAGTTGTTGGCGATTGGTTTTCGAAGTATGTTCTTCTGTGTCCGTTACGTTCATCAAAATCTCCGTATGTTGTGAAGTATCTTGAGAGTGAAGTTTTCCTTACTTATGGAGTACCTCAATATATAATTTGTGATAATGGTCCTCAGTTTGTTGCTAAAGAGTTCAGAGATTTAGCAAAGAAATATCAAGTTCAGAAGATCTGGTATAATGCTGTGTATTCTCCTCAATGTAACTTTGTTGAGCGAATGAATAAAACAATAGGAACAGCTATTAGAACTTATGTTAAACAACATACAGATTGGGATGTTCAACTCTCTAATATTCAGTTTGCTTTAAACACTTCTAAACATGAGGTCACAGGTTTTTCTCCTTCGTTTTTAGTTTTCATTGAGCATATTCCCATCTCTGGTAATTATAGTCAAGTTAAGTTCTCTGAAGATTTTGAAATTATGCCTGGCGATCGCAACTCTTACGCTTCAGAACTCAAAAAATCTTTATAGTGTCTTTAGCGAAGTCCGTAAGAAACTTCATGCTGCTTACGAAAGAAACTCAAAGTCTTATAATTTGCGTAGACGTGATCTATCTTTTCAGGTTGGTGATTTGGTTTGGAGACGTAATAAGGTCTTATCAAATGCTGGTGTTAACTTTTCAGCCAAGTTAGCCCCTCGTTTTGTTTTATCTTCAGTACGAAAGAAAATTTCGAATTTAGTTTATGTTTTAGTAGACGAGGATGATAATAACGCAGGCCGCTGGCATATAAAAGATCTTAAACCATACCAGGGTCACATGATTGACGACGATGATACAGGAAATGTCTCTACTACGTCACAGTAATTTAAATAATCTATTATGTCCGATTCCTTTTTAGGGTTTAGTCTAAAGGATACATAGATTATATTCTAGGTTTTTTAGTTTATAGGTATTAAAAAGTTATACAACAATTCGCTTATCGTTTTTACGGATTTGTCGCGAATCAGCATAACTATTGTGTTATTTAGTTTTTTTGCGTATATTTTCAGTATGATATAGTATTTCTATTTAGAAATGCGAGCATATAGCAGTATTTTTCTTTTTCCGAGTATTCTACAGATTACCTAATTTTGAGTAAATATTTTGTGGGATGGTAATTCTGTTAATCACTCATATGGTTTTGTGCCATTTGCTCCATTCTATGACATTCAGTTCACAAGAATCTGAAATTTAAGCAATTCTTGTATTTTGAGAACACGACTTCGTGACAAAACGAAAAGTTGTTATGATTCTGATTGCAACCTAATGGTGAGACATAGCTGACCTCATAACTTCGTAAGTTTACTGTGTATTGGGTATGATTGTGATTTTCTTTCCATATTTGCAATAGCGTTTCATAGGCTGGAATCTCTATGTTACGGATATTTTGGGTCATTCGTGACAATCTTTTCTCTCTTCCTTTATATATGTTTATCTATTGTGATTTCTATTGTTATTTTCCTTTCTTTTTCTCATACAGGTGAGTTACCTTTGAATGGTTAACCGGTGAGCACACAGGTTGTGGCGAAGGTAGTTTGTTTTGGTCATACGCCAAACTTACCTCTTATATAGTGATCCGTAGCATGGCTTTGTTGAGGTTTCTTTTGTTGTTTGTTTTGTTCTCCGCTTCCTTGGTGTGAGGGGTCGCATGACTGATTACACGCGATTTGTGAATCTTTCGTTGCCTCACACTAGGTGGGTTGAGTACGGACAATCAGCTTGAGGATTTCTTCAGGAACATCTGCGCTTCCATGGGATTCTTTCTTTCTTTCTTTTCCTATCCCATACTTTTAGGTTTAGATTTAGTTTTAGTTTTCATATATAATTTATATGAATGTTTTTATTTGGATTTTATGGTGATTTGACTTTCCCGATTGTGTAATCTCACTGATTTGACATACCGATTGCGACTTACCAATAGTGACTCCTTCATGGACGTGTGATACACGAAGTTATCATCCACCAAATTTTCATTTGAAAAATCCAAAACCCTGTACAAACTTAGTTTAGTTTTCCTATGTGGTGTTTGGGCGAAAGTCCTCTTTGAGGGCCTTTCTTTTTTTTTGGAGGGGGCAGTGTAGCGTTTTATTTTTCTTTTTATAAAATTCCAAATTTTAATATTGCTGGCGCCATCTATTCGCTAGATGTTAAACTTCATTCAGTACAGGTAGCGGTTCCTTTCCATAAAAACAAATTTCATTCAGTATAGACGATAGAGTTCACTTAATTGCCTTTGGTCATATGACCTGTCAATTCGAAGACTTCCGTTTTGCGAAAGGAGGAAGGAGGCTTTCCGAGATTGAGATCAGAAAAAGACGCGTGGTTCAGCGTCCGACGAATCTCAGAGAAAAGGGCTTTCTGAAACACTTTTCCTAACAGTAAAGGCACGGGTATCCAAAAGTGGAGATTTGAAATCCTGTAGAATATACTGTTCAGAGCCTAGTTCGTGTTTTTTTGGCCTTTTCCTGGAATAAGATCACAGTAAGTGTATCTACCATTTTTGTATCGCCATGTCTAACTAAATTTTATTTCAGTTATTCCGTTTTTTATTTATTTTGATAATGTTTGATTGTGCATTACTGGTTTGGATCAGCATATAGTTTGGCTATATTTTGGAATGTGTACAGCTGATTTTCAGACCGTAAGTTATTTTTTTTGGTATTCGGTGACTGTTCTGAGAGTTTTTTTTATATAGAGTAACTGGCGTATAAGAAATTGACGTATAAGGTATTGACGTAATTGGCATATGAGTAACCACTTTTGAGACAGTATTTATGACTCTACATTTATTCTACTGATATCGAAGACTCCTGCTACTATCGAAGAGTCTACATCCACTTCCGTTAGTCTGGAGACTGCCTGCCTACCTGTTCACTACGTCACAAAATTAAAAAAAATACAGATAAGTTCTAAGTTCAACACACAAGGTATTCCCTAAATTTTTTTTTACTTTGAGGCAATATTTTGAATATCTCTGTAAATTGTTGTCATTTATTCCGTATATTATAGTCAAAATTTACCTTTTAGTTAACATTATAAGTCATGCTTTGTCCTTAACGGTACGTTTTACTTCAGTATGATCTTTTATGTGAGAATCGCTAACACGGATTCATTTTTGAAGGTTATTGTACACGACTTGTTTCGAAACATCATCGTATTGGTACATACATAAATTTCACCTGTTTATATATTACGTAGTATAGTATACTGGAGAGAACTCTAACTAAATTTGAGTTTACTTAAAGTAACTAACGATTTCATTGGGATAATTGAAACTGGGTTTAAAACTGATTGATAATTGTGTTCGTTTTAAATAAATGTTCAACGTAGGATAGTTATATCTGACTTTTATTCTTGATGAACATAATAGACCCTTATTGCTGTTAATTATTTTATTTTAGCTATTTCATGATCAAATTTTCTTACTGGTTTCTTACTTTACCTTTTCATACCCAAAGTAAGTGGCGCCCTTTTACTGTCTTTGACCATTACTATTTGAATACTTAACATCAATTTTAGAATCTTTGCAGCCTATACATTATTACTTTTATTTTATTATTTAACAACATTATTAAGTCACCACAGGTCACAAGCCTTACCTACGAACCCAGCTCTCCTCTAACCCTGAGCAACGGATACCTTTTTCTTTCTGTTTGAGTGATGACAGAAAAGGTCGTCACACCCTATCAAGTTAAGTAAAATCACGATCGCAAACCGCTTATTGTTAAAAGGCTTTTTTTCGAGAAGATCACTAAATAAAATAATTTGATATGTTTCTGAGCATTTGCAATGGAATTATAAAGATATCGTTAAGGTGTCTATTTTTTATAACAAGAAAAGTCAGTAATCGCGATAATTTAAAAACTCAACTTTTTAATTCATAACGCGATAACTCAAGAACTACTTTATATATTGAAACTTTTTTTTTTATTTTGAAGTTTTACAATCTATAGGTTTGTATTTTTTTTCATTCGAAATTTAAAAAAAACATCCATTTACTTTTAGCGCATTGCAATTTTCCGCAATCGTGTAACTTTTTTATTTATAAAGAGATATTGATTTTTGAGTTCTAATAGCGGGACCACTATCGAACAACAACTCAATTTAACTTATTTTTACCAAAAGTGCAAGTGTTTCTAACTTGCACTTAAAAATTTACATGCTATAGGGAAAATCGAGGGGAAAATTACGTCTCGTTAATAAATAAACAAATAAAGTATAACGAGACGTAATTAAATCGTCAAACTGAACTCATAATGTACACTCTACCCTAGAATGTTATAAGTACTGATACTGATTGGGTCGACCGGTCGACGGCGACGAATCTGCTATATCCCCTTCCTCGTCTCTTAGCAATGTGCACAGTTTCTCGGTTTATTTCATACGTTTGGCAACGTTTTTAGTGTTCTCTTTTTGTTCAGTATATTATAAACGCATTGTATTCTTATTACATACAGAAATCTCGACCCAAAACTAACCTTTGCCAGCCGTTAGTATAGGATGATCCACGGCGATGGCACGTTAGACGTTTATGAACAACCAGTGGTAGAATTTTCTTGAAGATTTGGATTTGTAGATAAAGGTACCTGTTCCACCTATCTAAATATTTGCAGAGAGTTACAATGCTGCCGCATCATTTGAAAAGTGGTAGCACCTTTCTTATTTTAAATGGAACACCCGGTATATTATAACATTTTTGAAAACTAAAAGAATATCTCATAATATTTCTATATATACCTATATCTAACATTTTTTGAGATAATAAATAAAACTTGTGTAAAATTGACAAAAATATTTCTCTCCGGTTGTTATAAAATCGCTCAAATCATTGTTATTTTAAATTCTAGCCTATGTATATCAAAATACAAATAAAATTACTACACTTACACTACAATTATTTCACTAATTTTTAAAGAAAGTTTATAATTTACTAACTTCTGAATAACTGTATTGTTGTTTATCAATTTCAGGTCCAATATCGCCTGCCGTATCCCAGAGAATTTCATAAAGAGGTAAGACAAATTTTGATTGTATCAAGTAGAAAAAAAAAATTGTATTTGATGGTGGTAGAAAATATTAAAATAAATAATTATCAACAAAATATCTTCTTGGACTGGCATTGTATTTAATTATTAAATTTCACACGATGTTTCAATATGTATCTCTAATCGTTATCAAGCAATATTGGTGATTGGTGATTGATTTCGTGTTTTTTTCAAAATAATTTCTGAACTAACGTCATTGTCTGGGTGTTTTTTGACATGAGAAATTAGATTTCGATGTCAATATGACCTCTATTTGTAGGGAGCGCCGCGCTGCCTACATGTTACGCATACTACTTGTCGCGATTTTAACCAAGAGACCTTTTTATGTAAAAAATTGCGTAAATATGTATTTCTTCACTCCGTAGTCTAATACAGGTACTGACCCAAAGTTATTACTCTTCAAAGCAGCTAAAAAATATGAAGTGGCGCCCTCTACAAGTAAGAGTCATACATTTAAATCGAATTTCGCATATCAAAAAACACCGAAATACCGATTTTCATCCAAATATCGACGTTCATTCAGAAGTTACTTGGAAAAAAAACGAAATAAAAATGAAACTTCTACACCCTGTATCTCCGAAACGAAGCATTTTAGGACATAAATTTATGCGGACCTGTATTAAAAACATATTTATTATTTTATCTACGTCAGTGAGTTAGGAAGCTCTTAACTCACGCATTTTGAGTGAGTTAAGAGCATCTTAACTAATGCATTTTCATTACCGCACTCCTTGTTTAGATGACTACCAAAGAGAAAAAAATATTTTGTAAAACATTTATTTTGCACTAAATTGGAAAAATATGTTATGAGTACCTTTTCATTTCCATAGTTGTGTACTATTTTTTCGGTGCACCATTTTTCATACTTAGAGTAAGTATGTATATTCATACTTCTGCTTCGATCTTGCTGGAAGCAATCCAGAAATGGCTCTAAATGCCTCTTCTTCAATGTCAGAGGGAATACTTTCCGAATCGCTCATTTTTTAAACTAATGACATCAATATTATTTACTGTCATATTGACATTGTCATGCATGGTGTTATTTGAACAAAGGTATTAAGGTAATTGATTTTTAGGATAGGTATATAGTTAAGTACAATAATTTTTAAAATTCATTGTGTGTTTTTATAGTTAGACGTAGATAAAATAGTGTACAATACACGCGAGTTAACTCCATTAAGACACTTGTGCGGTTACACAACTCACAACTTTCACACACGTATCTTAATGATGCTGTTAACTCATTTGTATCGTAAATATACAGTCCTGGTCATTTAATTACTGTGTATAGGATTTTAATGGATACGACAGAGAATAATACAATTGACCGGTTGACAGAGAGAGACGCAAAATAAAAGGGGGGATACAGTGTTGCCGGTTCATAAACGTGTAGGCGGGATTAAGAATGAGCATGGTGAGAGCACAAATCGACTTCGATATCGATGATAATTCGAGACTGCACTCAGTGTTGCCAGTAAAATTCCTCTAACAACCTCTGCATAACTAATATCATATTGTCAAATAATATCATTAGTTAGAATAGTTTTCGTTTTCTGGTTAGAATTTTTGTTTTAAATCTCAATAAAGAAAAATTACATTTAAAAAAAAAATGAACTACTCAAAACAATTATCGCATATTTTCTAAAAAAATATTAATTTGAAAAACAAGACATTTTGAATTCCCTGACTTGGACTGTGGAGGGAAATTCGATAAAACAAGCCTACGCGCAGACCTATAATTTTTAGTCGGCCGACTATTTAGTTGCAAAAGTGAAAACAATACATACTTATGAAGTCGATCGGCCGACTATTTGATTGCACGTGGACCATAAGAATATATTCATATATATCCATAAGAATATATTGGTTACAAATATGCAACTAAATAGTCGGCCGATTAAAATTATCTGTCAGCGCATAGCCTAAGGCTACGCAATGTAATCAAATATTGGCCCGATCGGCCCAATAAGAATGTATTGTTTTCACTTTTGCAATCAAGTCCAAAGTCGGCCGACTAAAAATTACATGTCAGTGCATACCCTAATTATCCTAAAAAACTCACAAGAGAAAGACAGAAAAATGCATGCTTCAGTTAGAAATATGTAATAATTACTTTTATTCAAATATGCGATAATTGTTTTGAGTAGTGTATAATTATTAAAAAATATTTTCTGATGATACTATTAGAAATGTCAAGTTTGGGAACAAAATTAAAACACACATTAAATTTTGTCTAAAAAATATGTTTTCCGAAAATTTACTTCTATGATTTAAATTTTAATTCTTACTAGATTTAGGGAAATTTCCTACACCTGGCAACTATGACTAATATTCAAGACAATCAAAGACGGTCAAAGGACCGTCTCCATGTTAAGAGATTTCTTACTTCTTTCCCCCACCACTTGATATGTCATACCTGATTGGTCTCATCTCCCCACTCGAAGATTTGGAAGCCATTTGGAATTTCTGTCGCCACGTGTCACCCATGAAACTCTTGAGTCATAGGCGTACTAATATTTTATTTCCCTTTAGATTTAGTATTACAGCCAATTATAGTTTAAAAGTTTTACTTATGAATTCTGTAAAATTTAATTTTCTAGAATTGTTATAAGAATCGTTTTATGATAGCTGACAAAGTTTAAGACGGAAGATGATCGATGCGGGGCGTCGTCGATGCGGTTCGTGGATACGATCCGTTAGTTCGTCTGGAAATTTGTCCATTTTGTTCGTTATATTTCTTTTAATGGTTCACCCAAAAATCGATATTCTGTCAAATCGCCGCGCAACCCATCGCACGGACCCGTTCGCGCTAGAGGTGTGTAGTTCGTGAACGAACTAGTTCCAATGAACTATTCCAACCCCGGAATGAAAGGAACTAGTTCCTCAGGACCTATTCCGGGATCGAGACTGTGACCGATATACATGTATAATAATATGCGACGGCGAGGGATCGGCCAGCGCGCGTAGCCCGATGCTAGGCAGGAGTGGGGAGTGCCAGCCGTACGTTATCGGATCCGGACCTAGAGGAACTAAAACTAAATAAAAGACTAGTTTACGTACGTACGGATCGGGCCAGCGCGATCGATTCTACGCAGGAGTGGGGAGTGCCAGCATAATGTTATCGGATCCGGACCTAAAGGAACTAGAGGAACTAAATAAAAGACTAGTTTACGTATGGATCAATCACCGCGATTAATGCTAGGCCGACGTGGGGAGTGCCAGCCGTATGTTATCGGATCCGGACATAGAGGAACTAATTAAAAGACTAGTTCACGGGAATCTATTCAGTCGGCAGATCCGAGATATAATACAAGGCGACGACGATGGATTCGGCATTGTCTATTGCCACAGCCGGCGTATTTACCACAGAAAATTGTCGTAAATACTGTTTTTGATTTTTAGCTTGTCTTTTAAATATTTTATGGAAATGTTTCACTTCAGGTCCCTAAAATTCAGAAATATCTTATAAAACGAAGTAGATATTCTGAATTTTTAGACAATTTTTTTTTCGTAAAATTTTTGTAATATTTGCTCCAATTGATTTGTGACATAGTTTTTTAAACTCTAATTTGAGTTTCTTTTTTATTTTTTTATCTGCAATAAAACTTACCTATATGTTTTTAACATACACAATTACACGTCTCGTTATATCTCCGTACATTATAAAAATTATACAGATCATACTGTGAATAGTTTTGACTGACAACTAAACGCATTAGCAAGCAAGGGGGATGTCAATGTTAGTCGGGAACTATTGTGAACTAAAGACCTAGTTCAAGGAACTATTCCTCTGGAGGAACTAGAACTAAGGAACTAGTTCCTCCCAGGGAACTAGAATTCCCACCTCTAGTTCGCGCAACAAATCGACCTATCTACGAACTGTGTCAGTGCATGGTAAGTATTGGTCTTTATTATAATGCTGTATAGCTTACTGTAACACTTAAATAAAAACTATACATTTATATATTGATGGTTCTAGTTGTGCTACCTTTTGAGGGGTGTGAAATAAATGATTTATTTATAATAATATTGAATTTCTGCGGGGTGGTGTAACTAGTGTTACAACGGTTGTGAGTATGGTATTACATTATCATAATGTTATAATATGAAATATACCTACTACCTATTTTGTCTAATATTGGTACAGAAAACTTATCAGTATAAAGTTTTACTTATCTTTAGCCTTTTTAATGCTGTTTGTAACCCTCTATGTCTATATAATGGACAACGAGTAATTAGTAATTCTGAATATATCTATAAGAACTTTTAGTTTTAAGTACGCCTATGACTGAAATGCAGCGCCCACCTTCTCCTTCTAGTCAGCGGCCATAATGTCAGGGTCCATCAGAGTCAAGGATGAGTAGAGATAAATAAATTTAAATTTATTAATTTTAGGGCCTGCTCTATTCTAACATGTAAGAAATATTTATTGATGGATAAGTACGGCAGATATGTAATAAAAAGCCGTTTTGTATGAATACCAAAATAGTATTTGAAGTATTATAATCAAATTGAATTGATAATAAATTTATGTGCCCGTGTTTTATAAGCCGTCTGCAGAAAATTGACTATGGTAATAAAAAGATGACTCATGTCAATGTTTATCCCAAATTATAAATCGATAAGAGTTCTCATTAATAATAGTAATGTGGATATATTTTCCAGAACTTACTTTAACTTTATTTAAAAATTACTTTTTTAATTTTGTACTAGTTTATAGCACTTAACAATATAATCAATCATTTGTCTGTCATCAGTGTATCATATACACCTCTATAATTATTTAATACATAATTACAATGATACATAATTATACTGATTACAATGGTCGACATGTCAACAATAGAATTTGCGCTATTTACTACGTTATGTAATTAACTGATTATCTGCCATATTAGGTATCTGCGGATGTACGTCACTAACGTAATAAAGAAGCAAAAAATAACCAATAAATAAACTAACCAAAA